TAGATAAACCCACTAAATTAAGAAAACGTCTAGGGGACAAAACGAGAAACGATGGATACGTGCCAAGCTTCACGACAGACTGGGTGGGCCCTTTTATTTGATTAGGCCCAATTTCCTCAACTTTAATGTGGCACGACATCGAAATCTGGTCGAATGACTTGATTAGAATCGGACTATAAAGCAGATAGGCAGATAAAAGTCTCGATCTAAATGGCCTCAGACTATCGCCGGCAAGTAGACGATGTCAAAGACCTTCAAAAAGTGACGGCTAAGTGACGGAAATTGAAATGGTGCATATTAAGACTTGAGACTTGAGTGATTGCATATGCATTAACATGAATAGAAGCCGATGAAAACTGCAAAAACATTGAAGGCCAAATTTGATCGAAATCGGAAGCACCGCCATCTATGGCAAGTCTAAAGTCCCGAAGTCTTGGGCCGTCAATCAATCCCGTCTATGGATGCGCCCACGCATTCGACTTCCATTCAGAATCGTAGTGGCGTAATGAATGCGTATGTGGTCTGAACAATGACTTGCGGTGGCCAGGCGATGTATAAGTCAGCGCTTTTATCCTCCCAGACGAATCTGGTACCAACTGACCGACCCCGGAGGGATGGAAGGCTTGGAGGCCTAAGCAGACATAGGATTCAGTCCCGTTACCATGTGACCATGACAAATATTTCGGAAAAAAGCTGTAGACCTGAGTGACTGCCAGTATGAAAGCCAGTCTTCTTCGCGGAAAACTCTAAAAGTTGGTCTAAATTAAAAGTCCAAAGTAGGAGGCCCTGAGCAAACGGTATGGGTCGATCGCTGCCCAGAACGAGTGGGTAGCCCTATACAGTTGGAGACGCTGGAAGCGTTTTCTGTGTTTAGCGCTGAGGGCTAAATATGGGAATACCGTCCATTCGAGTAATTCACAACGCAAGTGAAGCATATATGGGCACAAGGAGCAAACGAAAAATACTTAAAGACGAAGTAATGCTGGATAGGATGGCTGTTTTTTTTTCCTTGGTAGTTCTTCAAAAAGCTTCAAAACACAATGCAATCCATCCTATAAGGTATTCTGGAGCATCTATCCCCACAGAATACTTTGCCCAAAAGGTGCTCATTCCATGTGTTCGTTTGTGCCCACCATCCATCCAAGGGTGGGGGGAGGTGTCCATAGGGCATGGGTTTGTTTCTGTCGGAACGAGTAGAATCTCCCGTACTAGATTGTAAGGAAGGTGTCTCTCCCAAGAAGTCAATGTTAAGTAAAGAAAAAGCAAGTAAGGAATACTAAGCAATGAGCAATTCTGAAGCCGTCAAAACTCTACTGAACGGAATACACGGAAAGAACGAAGCTGAAGGAGAACAACGGCATGAATAGGGAGACATCTGTACGAGAAAAAACTAAAAACCAATTCATTCGAACGGAATCAAAAATGACCGACCTATAAGTAAAGACTAAAAAAAGCAAGAGTGCTGGAGGTCCATAATCAGTTGCCAGAATCAAAGAGATCTAGAGATCACAAAGAGTTGGTGGAGGGGGAAGGTAAGGAGTGATGCCAAGTAGTTACAAGTGATAGCTTCACTTCCTCAAAAATAGATGAAAAATCCAGTGGAAATACAATAGAGAGGGGGGGGGGTGTTGTGCGGATCTCCCACTCCTAACAATATGCGTTAGAACGCAGAAAAGGAGAGATGGCCGAAAGGAGTTGCGAACGGAGCAAGGGCTCATGGGTGACCCTCGACATTCCCTGGTCAGTTAGCTTTTTTGCCTTACCAGATTGAGGAATGGACAATCTGGGAGAGATCTAAGGAATTTTTACTCGAACCGATAAATGTAGGTTTTTTGGCTTTGACCAATCCATTTCAAGACGTGCCAGGCAGTCGATTCTCGTTCGGAATCGTTGTGACGTTGGATACATGTGGTTTGCAGGGCCAGCTTGGATACGCTCCAGCTCCATTCGAAAAAAAGTGAAAATCGTCTTATATGTATGGTACGAAAATATGAAGGCCTTTTTTATTAATTGGTTTTTACAGAGCTCACAAAGATAGCTTTGAACAGTTGAATCTCTTTAATATAAGCCCAGCCCATCCACCCACCTGTTTCTTGGTGTTGCCAAACAGCCGCATAGCAACCACCAGTCACACTAAGACGACTGATGGACTGGTTGAGGAGTCCGTTGAGTCGAGACGAACACATCGTTACAGCCCACAATCCTTTGCATTTCCAATGGGCCTCAAGATGACGAACGGACTCGGGCACCGTATTTATAAGCGAGCAAGTGAAGGGTACTTTTTGAAGGCTATTATGCCTTCACAACTTTCGGTCATCAATTAGGAAGCCCCCATAGACGTTTCAGGCTAAGTTGCAAAGTATCGTTCCCTTTCTCAGCGATTATTTTCTTTCTTAGCAGAAACTTGAATCGGGAGGATACTTCCCCGACAACGACCCAGGGGCGCTAACCCAACGAATAAACTGACTATTTGACTTCTCAAAGTATCGTACCAGTTCCTCAAACCTGTATAAACTCAAATACGTAATGTTTACTTGTTTATCGACAAAAACTTGTTGTATTGTCCTCTCACCAGTTTTAGACCCTTACAATGCCCTTTCGCCCTTCCGGTGGTTTGATGGATAAGGCCTCTCGAGCTCACACTTGATGAACGACTGGATTAAGAGGGTTAAGCCGAATTAGAAGAGATCAGCGTTGAGTTCCAGATGCGAAATGAAGCACATTATGGAACGTATAACCAATTTTTTCTAAAAATTCGAGCGCCACTGGGATTCTGAGCAAAACTGGAGAGTGAATCGATGAAAATCAGATTGAGGGGACCCACCTCACCTGGTCACTTATTATCAAAGACACAGTATGTTGCTAAAATATGTGGCAAAACGGTACAACGGCAAGCAAGCTTTCAAGCACGAGAGAGTCAAGAGGGGTATCGGTTGTGTAAGGGATGAAGAGTACGATGAAAGCACAAAAACGGGTTCTAGTCCCGTCCGAGCAGGAACTTCTGCCCACAACTCGCCACCCACAGTATAAAGAATTGCTGTCTGAAGGAACTAATTGAGAAAGTGCTTCCAATGAGCGTTCAAGGTCAGTGAGTATCAGACTGATCTATCAAGACAAACGCACAAATCTGAACAGACGGTGGTCCCAGAAAGACGTAATAGGGAACGATATATACGTATTCGAAAATTTGAATTATCAAAAAAAAAGAGGTCGGTTGCGTGTTGTGGGTGCATTCCTAGCGAGCTAGTTGGTCTACGTCAATGAATTCGTACTTTCTTCTAACTGAATCCACTCTGTTAATCGTATACCTAATCAAATTTTCAGTTTTTGAAGAATTCGAGGGTGAAAAGGTCCATTACCCTCACTTGGCACTTCAGTAATCATTTTTGATGGTGTTAAATCTATCCGATTGGAGGCTGTTGTAATAAAGAAAAAAACCTGGGAATGTGTAAAAAATCGATCTCCCGAGTATATTATTGGACCCTAGTGACGTATGCCAGGCATACCGCTTGAGTAAGGAAGCGTTTGAGCGGTTTGGGTAATTGGTACATGATTGGTAATGATTTCCCGGAGACTAGGGTAAAGGTAAAGACGGTGATTCGTCTCAAGAGATATCCTTATATTATGTTAATTTGTCATTTTTAGGGCTGGAGGTTAGTAGTGACAAGTGGCCAACTATCCCACACGAATGGTCCGTGTATCGGATCTCTGCTTTATACCCACCCAGGCTACCGAGCCTCCCATCCTTCCGGGATCATCCAATTGGTGTCAGACTCGACTGGGCGGATAACAGCACTGTCTTGTACATTAGCTGGCCAAGTCATTGTATAGGCCACATACACATTCAACTGCCTCTACGATTCTGAATGGAAGTCGAGTGCAGGGCGCATTCCAAAAAGGGATTTATCGATGTCGGAGATCCTATTCCTATAATTTTGTAGTATTTGCTTATCTTGTCTACATATTACAATATTATTAAATTATTTGATAGTCACCTAGAACCTGAACCTGCCCTACCCTCCCGATGTTACCCCTGGAATAATATTAGTAGTACAAAGGACACTCCACATAGGAGAATCCCAATTTGACGAAGTCCATGAGTAACTTTTCCTACATAATCTGTTTATTTACAGAGACCATCGCAGAACATTCATTTACAGTGTCCGAAATAAATCATGAGAGTAAGATGGGAGTTCGAATAACCCGTAGTAAACAGAAAACAAATACGAAAAACAGTAATGCAACACAAATAATAAACAAGAAACCGCGAGTACATAAATAATGAACAAGGTCCTTGTAAAACCGACAGACATCTTGTAAATGTTGAGATGCGCATAGAGGTCAAATTTCCAGGGCCATACTCACCCCGTCAGGGGTTCCGCACTGTCTCAAATGAGGCGGTGGGGCACTCCTAAAGGGTGGGTATGGTTCTAAAAAATGAGTATATTGTCATGAGCGCTTGAATTCTCCTCATCTGACAAGGTTCCTAAGTGTTGCGGCAAAATAAGTCAATCATCAAACGCCGCGCGCGGAAAAATCGCGTTTTGACTGTCTGGGAAACGCGTCCTCGAAGGGATTTCCCATCGCAGCAAATAGCATTCTCTACAGTTGTGGTACAGGTTGTTGCTGCAGAAAGGGTGAAGAAACTATGCAAGATGTCTGCATTCAATTGATTACATAACGATTGACAACAAGTGATATTTACAGCATCAAACGTAATAATTCTCTAGTAACTCGAAATGGCGCTTTAGGACATTCCCACTGATCAAAGCCGACCATTAAGTGTTCGCTCGATC